GATATATAATAAAGCACATGGGGGCATAGTTACTGATATTTTACCTGAAAAAACAAATTTCCTGCCATCAAGTCAATTCTGACTCATAGCAATTCTACAGAACAGAGGAGACCTGGCCCTGTGGGTTTCCAAGACTATAAAGGCTCATCTTTCTGCTCTGAAGAAATGGGCTTCAATCACTGATCTTGAGGCTAGCAGCTCAACTCATAACTCACCACACCAGAGCTCCTTACTGACACATCTTAGACATAAGCAAAGACCTCATGGATTTCTGGGTTTGAAAGTTTAGGATCATAGTCCTCAGGAACATCTCTCTCACAATATTGGCATAATATAGTTCATAAAGTTACGGTCTACATCCTAGCTTGGTGAGTAGTGTGTGGAGTCTTGAGAGTTTGTGAACATCCATCTAAGACACAATTATTGGTCTTGACTCATCCAGAGAATGAAGCTGAGTATAAACTGAGCCTGGTCATTACAAATGTCTCCCTCCCATGTTTCTTGCTCACAGACTCTCTCGCCAAAAGCCTTTTTTGCATGTCAGAGGCCATGTCACCCCTTCATTCAAACTTGCCAATCAGGGGGCAATAGCATGCTCTCCCAACCCAAGTTACCAGCCTCCACCCCCAAGGGTATATATGTGAGTGATTCCTTTGTGTCAGGACTACTTCTGTCTTCCCATACTCTGAGTAGTCTGGCACGCTGTGCTCCCCAATAAAGTCTGTTACTTGATACCTGAGTTTTGGCTTGGTTCTTGCTCTATCAAGGACAAATACTGTGCACCAGCCATGGCCTCATCCTCCCTGAAACCAAAAGAACTAGATGACATCTGTATACCTTTGCCAACCATCAACAATTACTTTAAAGCAAAGTTAAGAATACATTTAGGTAGGAGGAAGACTAGATGGATGGAAATAGGACAACTAGAACAGAAATGAGAAAGTTCACTTATTGGGAATAATATAACCAAGGTCACTAAACAATGTATAGAAAGTGTTAACTGGTAACTTAAACTGTTAAATAAACCTTGACTGAACACCCAATAATTGCATTTTTTTAAAGGACAAAACTGATCATATGTTCTTGATGTTGAAGGATGTTCGTTATATTTGTTGAAAGATAAAAAGCATATCATGAAAGTGTATGAGTGTGATCCCATTTTGTTACTAATCTAAAGACTGGCATTTTGAATCCGTTCCATGGTGCTGCAGAAGAATCTGCTTCCATACAGACTCTTGGTGTTAGTTTCCATCAAGTCAATTCTGACTCGTGACAACCCCGTGCTTGCAGATAAGAATTGCTCCATCAGGGTTTAAAGGCTTTGGTCTTTTGGCAGCAGATTGCCAGGCCTGTCTCCAAATGTGTTTTGAGGCATGTTCACACTGCCAACATTCTTGCTAGTAGTCAAGCACTTAACCATTTGTGTCACCCACGTATCCTTTCATAAAGATTGTAGTTCAGAAAACTCCATGGAGCAGTTTTGCTTGGTAATACATGGCTTCGCTATGAGTCAGAATCAAACTTTATGGCGATGGATTTGGTTTTAGTTTTTAGTTGTGTTAACTGCTGTTGGGTCATCCTGTGCTCAAAGTGAATCCCCTGAACAATGAAGCAAATTGCTGACTGGTCCTGCACCATCCCCATGGTCAATTGGAGGTGATTTTCAGAAATAGATTGCCAGATCTTTCTCCCTCTTTATTGTGATCTAGACGCTCCACCACAACATGGTCAATATCCTAAACCAAAACAAACCCACTGCTATTTCATTCATTACAGCTCATAGCAAGCCTGTGGAACACATAACTGCTCCATAGAGTTTCCAAAGCAGATTACCACAGTTTGTGGATTCAATCATTAGCTTTATCGCTCAGCCAACAGAGCTCCTTTGATCATAGCAACAAACATGTCCCCATTGACAGACAGATCTACAGTGCATTTGTTGAGGATCAAAGCCCCAGGCATAGAAGGTGAGAATTCCACCACTAATCTATGACTAACCTCACTACTAAAGTAAGAAAATGAGAGTTAAAAAAAAAAAATATATATATATATATATATATACACACACACACACACACACACACACACATACGCAATCACAGAAACTTTTATAGAAACCTTTTGTTTCTTGACATATACCCTATAGAGGGCAGTGTAATTATGAAGGCAGTGTTTCTAACCTTTTCCTGACTAATTCTGTGATCCTCAATTGACACCAAGGTCTCATATCATTGTTCCTTAAAAAAAAAATTTTGTCTGTTTTGGAAAACTCATGAGTTTGGGAAACAAAAGGAAGTCTGAAGGGACAAGATCAGGCCTGGAGGGTGGGTGGGGTAAGGTTTCTCAGGAAATTCTCAGAGGACAGCCCTTCTAGCCAGAGAAGAATGAGGAGGTACACTGTTGTGATTGGAGTGTGGGCACCCACCTCAGCACAACCTTCAGGCCTTTTCTCACCAACAGTTTTCAATTAAAAAAAAAAACTTCTTCACAACAAACTCCTGTAATCTTCCTGTATTCTTTGAGAAAATCCATCAAGATTATACTCAGTATCCTCCCCCCCCACCTCACACACACACACACACACACACACATACACACACACTGTCCACACTCAAAGTCTCCATAACTTTCTGAGCTGAGCTCACTGCCTTGCATATAATTGACTCATTAGAGTTTGAAAAGCACCCTAATGAGACTAAGACCAGCATATTTCTGAGAGAACTTGTCTGCAGGCATCCACTGATTAGAGACATGTTTAAACACAGTTTGTTTGGAATAAACTAGTACATGTATGAACCACACTTTCTAACCTACCCTTGTATAAACATATCCGCATTCATGCTATATGAGTATATTCAAAAGTACCTGGGACAAATAGCTATCAAATCATGGACACTGATACTCTGGGGAATGCATTTGGAGAAGGGTTCACTTATGCACTTTTGAATTTTGTCAATGCGTAAAACTTCTTTAGTAGTTTATAATCACAACAATTAGTAGTTTATAAACACAATCATTTTTAAAACCTGATATTCACAACTATCTAATCTAAAAGTGCCCACAGTGCCCACAGCCACAATTAGCAACACCTTGTGTCCACCCCACCCCCATCCCACTTCCCCACAAAACCACCTCTGAGGCTAAAATTCTTTACAGGAGCAGAAAAACATCTTTTTTTTTTTTTCAAGAGGAATAGCTAGTGGGATTGAACCCTGATCTTGCTGCTACAAATCCAACCCACTTTCAAAACCATACACAAACAAAGGCCTTATCAGTTCAGAGAGAAAAATCTCCCTGCAGGTGCTCACTACAATTTAAGCATTTGTAAGCCCTGAGATTACTTAAAGGTTAGGAAAGATACATTCTGTTACAAACAGATTTTGTGCTTCTGAGTCTCTGAGATGTGAAAGGTACTGCCATATTTTTAATAATGGCATAAGAAAGCACAAGTACCCTTTTAAAATTAATATCTTGGTTCTCAAAGGTAGTTAAAATTATGAGGCCACCTATATTTGTTGTAAATTAAACTTGAAGTGAGGTTTTTAATCGGTGTGCCTTTCCTAAAGCAGTGAGTCTTTGGAAATATATTATTGAGAGGCCAAGAGCCAAATAGCAATGGAATTATCACAATTCTGACATACTGGTCCCAATCTCTCTCTTCAAGGCCATCTCTGATTGAAATCTGAACATAATTTTGATCCTAAGCTCCAGCAGTCAGCCAGTCTGCTGTAGCTTGAAATCAAGCAGAGATGGTAGGGGAAGAACGGCAGCAAACAAGGTCATGTTTTTTTAAAGATCCGCTGTGAATGCCTTGGTGGCACAGGAGGTTACCCATTAGGTCTGTCGACTGTCAGGTTGGCAGTGGAACCCACTGAGGGAGACAGATGAGCTGTCTGCTTCAGTAAAGATTTAGTCTTGGAAACCCAGAGGGGCAATTCTACACTATCCTACTGTAGGAGAGGCCTCATTTTATCACATTAGTTTGGTCTGCAAAGCTTAGCTCCTTCTAAGCCATTTCATTTAGACACCAATTGTGAGCTCCCCATAGTCGGGTACACACCATGACTGCAGAGGGCTAGAGGTTTTAAACCTGCCAGGAGGAGGTTTCTCTGGCTGAGACAGCACAGAGACCGCGGGGAAGGGCCAGTTCACCAGGGCATTATGCACACAAGCATCACTGCCTCTAGGAGAGCTCTGCGCATACAAGATGCCTCCTCACCCATCCAGGGATTTGGTCACTCCTAACTGGACTTGTTTGTGAACCCTGGTAGAGTAGTGGTTACATGTCACCCTGCGATCCTCATGGCTGGCCCCTCGAAACCATCAGCCGCTCCTTGGGAGAAAGACATGTTTTCTTCTCCCATAAACAGTTACAGTCTCAGAAACTCACAGTAGGGTCGCTATGAGTCAGCATCACCTCGATGGCCCTGAGTAACAGAACTTACTTAGGAACCCTGGCGACGCTGTGTGTTAAGTGCTGGGCTGGTTGGCAGTTCAAACCCACCAGCTCTTCCTCTTCAAGAGAAAGATGAGGCTGTTTGACCTCAAAAAGATTTACAATCTCAGGAATCCTGTATTTAGGGTCCCTGAGTCAGAATCAACTCAATGGTCTTGGGCTTTGGGGGCCTACAGGGCTTGCATAGGGTCAGAACCTGGTCAGAGCCCTGCTTGGTTGGAAAGTTCAGCGGGAATCTCGGTTCCAAAGTGACGCTCTGCGTAATATGGGTACGACCAACCGATGACCAGCGCCCTGGCCAGGCTGCTGGGACCCGGTAAGAGGGATCCACGCAGGGTGGAGCAGGTGTCCACTTCCAAGGTGAGGCCGTGGGTAGGGTAGGGGCGGGGAGAGAGGGCTGAGTCCTGCAGCTAGGCAAACTTCTGAAGAGAGCCTGCCAGATGTCAGACAGACCAACAGAAAGCTGCCAGCAGGAGGACCTGGGGGCCAGAGGTCGGATTGCCAGGCAGATTCCCTGCCAGCCCGACAGGAGGGCCTGACTTACAGGTGAGCGATGCCCGCCTTGCGCACGGCGGTGGAGATGGCCTTGACGGCGGTGCACAGCGAATTGAGCAGCTGAGTCATCTCACCGGTGCCGCGGGCCTTTCTGCCCTCCTCCATGACAAAGCGGGTCAGGGTGATGACATTGGTGTCGAAGGGTGCCTGGTCCGTCATGCTGGGGCCGGGCTGCTGCGCGCTGGGCGGCAGGTGCTGGCGGCAGGAAGGTAGACAGCGAACGGTGGCGACAGGTGTGGTGTGTCTTCACCTCCCAGGGCAGAACTGGCGCACCTGGCCCGTTGGGTGTGGCCTGAAGAAGCCGCTGGCCGCAGGTTCCCGCCCCCACCTTCAGGCCCCGCCCTCACCACGCCCACCACGCCGCCGCCGCGCTCCCCGCCCACCACTTCCCCTGAAGTCGCCTGTCACGCCAAGGGAGGCCGCTTGCCTTTGCTGGGCGTTGCTCAGTGTCACCTCCATGATCTCCATTGGCCCCAACAAAGACCCTGCCAGGGCAGTACAGTCCTTTGTGGAGTATCGCGCCCCACACCACCCCACCGACACCCCCCCCACCCCACCCCACCCCCGCAATAAATAGAAAACGGCATTTCAGCAACATCGAGTACCTGGCTTTCGTGGGACATAATGAAACCAGCACCCTAGCCTATGGGTCCTGGCTCCAGCTTCTAAGCGCTGCGGCTACTGCCCGCCCCTCTCCCATGCGCACTACCTGCCCCTTGCCCCTGTCCTCTGCCAGTCCTTGCTCTGTGACCAACCTTGGCAGAAGTGGACTCCATTCTATTGGCCCTTACCTCTCTGCGGACCCAGTACTGGACCCCTCGTTCAGGCCTCTTCCTTTCGAGAATGCAATTATTCAAGGGCAATTGAGGCCTTCATTGCCAACCGCTGCGTTTCCTACAGAAGAGAACCACCGTTGCTGACAGACTAGCTCCTGGAGACCACGCTGGAGCCAAAGTGCCCCCCAATCCACCCCTGCCCGCTGTGAAGTCAGCAGACTGCTATCCTAAGACAATTCCTGCACGGATTCCTATGAGAGCGTTTCCTGAGCACTTACTAAGTGTTTGGCACTGTCCTCGGTCCTACAGAGCGAGTGTGAACACGACAGATTCAACTCCTGCCCTTGTTGAGCCCAGGCGTCAGCAGAGTGCACACGAAAGCAGATAATGGCACGCTAAAGGTCCAAGCTCATAGTCACCATTTAGGACAGGGTAGAACTGCCCCTGTGGGTGTCTGAGACTTTACGAAGACTTTTCTCCTGCAAAGTGGGTGGTGGTTGCGAACTGCTGACCTTGCAATTTTTATTCCAACTCATAACCACTACACCACCAGGAAAGTAAAAATAGACATTATTTATTAGATAATCTGTATGTGCTAGTGAGAAAGAATGGAAGGGAGATAGGGGACTTCAAGTAGAAGGGTAAGGGAGGACTTTGCTGAAAAAGTGACATCTGAACAGAGCTGAAGGATGTTGGAGAGCAACTGGTGGTGAAGGGAGAAGGCGTTTTCTGTGGCAAGAAGAACATGTACCAGGCCCTGTGGTCAGAGTGCACGTTTCTTCATTTGTAAAATAGAGCGATTGTGTCGTCTGGCAAGCTTGTCACCATGATTAAATGAGACGGCACTGACAGAGTGCTTAGCTCAGGGCCCACAACACAGGGGGCACACCAAATAAATAGACAAGATGTCTGTCTGGCTCAGTATTCTTCACTTCAACACATAATCTCAGGAAGCTCCTCACCTGTCAAGCAGCCATCCAACCCACGATTGACATGAGACCACTCAGCATGGCAGTCAAGTGCACAGACTCTGGAGCTAGATATTCTGGGTCTAAATCCTGGCCTTGCCATTTCCTGGCTGTGAAAGCCTATGCAAGTTGCTTAACCTCTCTGAGCAAACGTTTCCACACCTGTAAGCTGGGGTTAATGGTCGTACCCCTAGCAGAGTCCATGGGAGGATTAGACAAGCAGTATGGGTAGACTATTTAAGAACTGTGCCCAGCCTGTACCAGTGTGGGCTTTATGATATGGATCATGTCAACTATGGTTTTTCTCTGAAGAGAAAGAAGAAAGTTCTCGTCTTCAGAAGGGGCCTGAAGAGATTTGGTAATCACCATCTTGTGCCTGCACTGGGATGTTCAATTATTGTGTCAGCTGATGGTAATAAGAGCTTTTCTGGGTCAAGGTGCATAAAAACATTAGCTGGTAGTAGCCAGGGAAGGGACAGACAGGAGGCAATCACCTCAAGTGTGACTGGCACTTATGGAAACTTCTTCCTCCGCTCCTGAACCCCCCACCCCACTCCCACTAGTACAGCACTGCTCCTTGCCCGCTTGACAATGATTTCTCTTCTTCTTTCACCAAAGAACACACTCCAAGTTCAGACATTGCAGACTTGAGTAGTGTGTGCAGTCCCACCAATTTTGAAAACAGCTCTAAATCCGGTTGTGAAAGAGCAATCGCCAGTTTCATCACCAGGCTCCAACCCAAGGTCACCTCTGTTTTGTGTCAGAGCGAGGAAGTTGAGCAGTATCAGTTTCGGCTGTATCCACCTCTCTCACCAGCCCCCCAGCCCCACCCCCCTTGAACTGAGGGCACTTCTGCTTACTGGGAGGGTGGCGAGGGCAGCTGGTAAAGAAATGCCACTTCTGAAAGGGTTATCACAGCAGTGTGGGTTCTCCTGAAGAGAATCCTCTTCAACCTTTCTAGCCTTAGGGGCCTCATGCAGATAATGGAGACTAGTTGCTGTGGTTGTTAACTGTGGCCAGAAGGGGCCCAGTTCAACTCTGTCAGCAACAGGTCCTGTGACAATTCCATGAACTTTATGATCCCTCAAGCGCTCATGACTGAATTTTCAGTAGATTACCAGGTCTTTCTTCCTGGTCCGTCTTCGTCTGAGAGCTTTGCTGAAACATCAGAGCAACCAGCAAACCTCCACAGGGTGGTGGCCAAGCAGGAGGAGCGTTGATCAGAAATCACACCTGAGTCTCACACATGGAAGGGGAGAATTTTATCATTGAAACAACACTACCCTCAGATACCTACCCACTGCCATGGAGTTCACTCTGACTCATAGCGATCCTTATGGGTCCTTTACTGGAGCAGTCAGCCTCATCGTTCCCTCACAGAGGGATTGCTGGGTTTGAACTACAGACCTTACAGTTAGCTACCCAATGCTATCGCACAGTGCCACCAGGGCTTCACAAAAGATGTTTTTAAAAAAGCAAACCCACTGCCATCAAGTCAATTCTGACACTATAAAATTGAGTAAAACTGCCCCAGAGTTTCCAATGCTGTAACTCTATATGAAGTAGACAGCCTCGTCTTTCTCCCTCAGAGAAGCTGTTGGGTTTGAACCACTGACATTTCAACGAACAGCCCAAGGCTTAACCCACTGCACCACGAAAGTTCCTTATGTACCAGAGCTCTCACTGTCAACAAATCAAGTGACCCTATAAGACAGGCTAGAACTGCTCCTGTGGGTTCCCAAGACTGTAACTGTTTAAGCCTCATCTCTTCCCCAAGGATCGCTGGTGGCTGTGAACTGCTGACCTTGAGATTGTCAGCCCTACGTTTAACCACTACTCTACCAGTGCTTGTGGATACCAAAGATAGATCTGTAATCTCTGGGGAAATTGGAAGCAACTTGAAACAGAAAGCTTCAGAAGCAACCTTTAACCAACTCAGCATTCCTATGAGGTGGTTTCTATTTCTACCCTTACTTTTACACATCTGATCTAGGCTATCAAGGTCAAATAATGAATCCAAGGGTGGCAGTTAGCAGGAGTGGCACAACCAAGACTCAAACTCTCATTTGTCTGATTCCAAAGCTCACATTCCCACATGACCTGTAGGTTCCCAGATAGAAACCGTTGTGGCTCTGTGGCATGTCTCCAGGGACAGACAAGGCTCTGTGGTTACCCACTGCTGCCTCAAAAATCTGCTCTCTGGTTCTCAGGCAGCTTTTTCTCTTTCTCAAAACAGCATAAAGGTATCACCATGCATCTCAGGAGGTCAGGAGTCCAGGTTCAGGTTCAGCAAGTCACTTTGGAGCCTGTGCTCCTTCACTCTCTCATTCAAAAAGGTCACTGAGTACCCCAGACCCAAACGCCAAACCCTTTGTCCCTGGTCGTTTCCAACTAAAACTGACCCTGTGGGGTGGAGTAGAGCTGCCTTGTAGGGTTCTCAAGTCTTTATGGAAGTGAAGTGGTACATCTTCTTCCCAGGGGTTCAAACCTCTGACCTATCCGTTAGCAACCAAATGTTTGAACACTGCACCATCAGGACTCCTGAGATTGAGTACCCACTGTGTACTACACACTATATACCACATGCTGGTTAGGGTGATATTTGGACACACATGTCCTGCCCACATTATTAGTGATTGAGATAGGGTATAAAACAGTCAATCATAAACCGATACATAAAGCCTTTTCAGGGGGCAATAAATGCTGTAAGAAAAGCACAAATCGTCTTTGACCGGAGACTGAGCAACCAAATGAGCTATTTATAGAATATCCCCAGCAAAAGGTACCGCAAGTGCAAAGGCCCTGAGGCAAAAGTGGGCTGTCAGATTTCAACGACCAGCAAGGCCACCAGTGTGTAGAGAAACCTGGGTGAGGAGAAGGATGATAGAAGATAAGGTTGGAAAGGGAAGCCAGGGGCAGCTTAGAAAGGCTGCAGGCCAGCACGAGACGCTGGCGTTCTGTTAATACTGCCGTGAAAAACTGTGGGAAGGTTTTAAGCTAGAAAGTGACGTGACCAATTTAAACTGCACGAGAATGAACTATAGGTGGTCACAAGAGGAAGGTAGGAGACACAGCAGCATGAATTTGACCTCATCTTTCCTGGGTTTCTTGTCAAATATTAGAAGACTATGGCCACATTTCTTAGGTGACCTGGTGGCTTTGTCAGGTACGCGTCGGACTGCTAACCACAAGGTTGGCAGCTCAAACCCCCCCATTGCTCTGAGGGAGAAAGA